AGGTGGATTCTTTACCACTGAGCTAGCAGGGAAGCCCTGCCCTGGGAGATTTAGATTCTTAGTAGTGTCTTCAAGGCTCTGAGAAGTCCTACAGTAAAGAGACCTGTGTAACTTTTTTTAGCCCGGCATCTTCCAAGCATGTTTGGCCACAGTGCCTCTGTTGCATGGATGACCAATGGCGTGGCATAGGACTCGGCCCGGGGCAGGCTGGGCTAGATCCATCCTCACTTGACAAAGTCCTAGCAGGTTTCGAAAGGGAGACTCAGGATGTTTGGGCCATGGCCCTTCAATCTGAAGGAGCCATCAGAAAGGACAGATGAGCCCTCCCAAAGTGCACAGCTGCTGCCAATCCCAGACAGCGCTTTGCACCCCCGCGGCCTTAGTGCCAGCCCCCAGCCCGGGAAAGTGCTTAACACGTTCAGAGAGGTCAGTTGGACCTCAGTCCGAGCGAGTGGCTTTCCTCAGTGACCGTTCGGCTTCAGGGCAACCAGGGCCACCTGGATTGCCCTGATCCACGACGAACGTTTCCCCAGGTGGAAATCCACCAGGGTGTTGGTCACCCACCATCGGGATAATTCCTGCAGTGTTCCTGTAGTTATTTCTCTCCAAAGAAATGAGTTAGCATGAACACAGTACACACAGCTATCCTGGGCCAGTATCTTGTGTTTTAAGGGCTTCCCAGGTGGTGCTAGCAGTAAAGACCCTGTCTGCCGATGCAGGAGACATAAGAGACGTGAGTTCCATCCCTGGATTGGGAAGATCCCCTGGAGAAGGAAATGGCAACCAACTCCAGTATTCTTGCTTGGAGAATCCCATGGACAGAGGAGCCTGATGGGCTACAGTCCGTAGGGTCACACAGAGTCGGACACGACTGAATCAACATAGCATGCACAAAGAAATGATACCCCAGTCGGTCCTTGTGTTAGATCAGTGTTTCTTACCTTGGCACCATGGACATTTTGGCCCAGATTGTTCATGGTTGTGCAGGGCTGTACTATGCCCTGTAGGAGGGTTAGCAGCATACTTCGCCTCTACCCACGAGATCCTAGTAGCATTGTTCCACCAGCCATGACACCAGCTGTGTCTCCAGACACCACCTAATGTCCCTGCCGACCGACATTGAACCACCGGGTTAGATACCCCCGTCAGGGTCAGGACCCTGTTGGCATCGTCTCTGTCCCTTCTCCCCAGACCATGTCCCGTGCAGGACGAGGCCTCTGGCACCTACGCAAGGCAGTTAGGAGAAGTACCCAGTACATCATTCTGTTGCTGCAAGGACGTTGCTGAGAGCATTGGTCTCTGCAGTTGCTAGGTGACTGACTTGCCAGCACTCCCTGAGACCTGCCTCCTGGTCTCAGCAGTTCTCCCCTCTTTGTCTGTGCTAGAGAAAGGGGTCCTGTGGAGCTTGTTGCTTATCTGTTTTTTTTGGCTGTGCCAGGTCTTCATTGCTTTGCTCAGGCTTTCTCTAGTTGTGGCGAGCAGGGGCTCCTCTTCACTGAGGTATGAGGGGTTCTCATTGCGGTGGCTTCACTTGTTACGATCACAGGCTCTAGGCTCATGGGCGTCAGTGGTTGTGGCACCTGGCCTCGGTAGTTGCAGCTCGCAGGCCCTGCACAGGCTCAGTAGTTGTGGCTCATGGGTTTAGTTGCCCCATGGCATGTGGGATCTTCCCGGGCCAGGGATTGAACCTGCATTGGCAGGCTCAGGCTTCACCACTGAGCCACCAGGGAATTCCACTGATTGCTTATCTTACAGCAGTAATCATCTTCATCATCGTTACAGCTGTCGTTTACTGGTTCGCAGCCGGGCTCCATGCTCAGGGATTGGAATCCACTTTCTCATTTGAACCTTGTAACAGCTCTAGGAGGCTGGGAGTCTCATCACTCCTAGTGTTCAGAGGGGTAACACAGGTTCAGAGAGATGAAATCCCTTATTAGTAAGTGACAAAAATCAGAACTTAAAACCCAGGTCTGAAGTCTGAGAAAGGTCAGTAGATTGTAACAAAGTTTCTCAGTTGTGATCATGGATGTTAGTTACACAGTGTTACCCGAGGGAGAAACCAGGTGGGGAATACATGGGGTCTCCCCATATTATTTCTTGGCACTGAGTGTCAATATGTATTAACTCAAGCTTTTTAAAAATTAAAAAAAAAAAAAAAAGCAAAAACCAAAAAGCAGGTCTGCCTGTTCTAGGAGCTGAACCTCTGAAAAGTTCTTTCCTCAACCGGTCGTGTTTCCCTTTTCGTGCTTGCTGCCAGGAAGTTCAGAACGAAACGTGTGCCCTCTGTCTACCAAGTCTGTCGGCTTCCTGGCCACACTTCTGGCTCTTTCTGTCCCTTGTGCTCTCTTCTCTTTGCCTTATTTGAAGTTGCATTCTGCTGTACTGTGAGTATCTTCAAAACTTCTTCAGCACTTTGTGGGAAAAAGTAGCGTTTGAACCAGTGAGTCACCGTCGTTTGAGCTGAATGGGGCTCTTCACCACGTTATGGCTGTGAGCGGACGTGTTCCCATCAGCCTGGGGGCCCTCTGCCTCTGCACGTAACATTGCATTACTCTGTCCCCTCCACTTAGCAACAACAAAAACAAGTTTTAATTAAAAAGAGTTTTTGTTGTTACCCCAAATCTCATCCTAAATCCACTGTCTCTTCCTGTAGCTCCATTACCATCTCAGAAATCGTGAAGGAGCCAAGAAAGGCCGAGGTGCAGAGAGGCGCCCTGGAGGATGACGGTGAGCAGCTTGACTGTTGATAACAGCTCTTCTTTATTAAGCCCCTCTTGTAGTCTGGAGCTACGAAATGCCCTTTTGGCATATTATCTTCCTTCATGCCTGCAGGCCCTGTCTGAGGCAGATGTTATGGTGACCCTGTTCATAGGGGGACCCAGGAGGGGAGCTGGGGCCAGGAGTGCGGCCACTGGCTCGAGGTGACCCTGAGCAGGAGCGCCTGCCTGCTGCACCCCACAGCCTCTCACACACAAGTCTCTGTTCCCTGCCCAACTCACTCACCACTCTGCAAGCTGCCATAGGCAGGCAGCTCAGCTGCTGACTCCCAGAAGCTTCTGGGAGACTTGCTGGCTTGACTTGGTGGCCAGAAAGCCCTCAAGCATCCTGCGAGGCACTGCTCTCTGTTAGACAGGAGTGATGCCCTGTGGACCAGGAGCCCTATGAGGGCAGAGGTGGGGCAGCCTCGGCACCTGGGGGCCCCTGGCCGTGCCGACTCCATCCCCGTGGGTTGCAGGCTTCCGCCTTTTCTTCACGTCCATCCCCGGAGGCCCAGAGAAGGAAGCTGCTCCCCAGCCCCGCCGGAGACGGTTGCCTTCCAGCTCCAGGTGAGATAACACGTCCTCTCCTCAGGTTCCCTCATTTTGGCCAGATCCCACACCCCCCCACCTCCACCCACAGATAGCCACGCGGACCCCAATCAGGCCTGGACCCAGGAGGAGTCCCACCAGGTAGCTGGAGACATAGTAGCTCAGTGGTAGGGGGAGGGTTTCCACTGGGGGCTGGATGTTGACTGCTCTCGGAGCACCCATCTCGTGCCTGACACCACACTCCTGGGACATCCCTGTGAGGCCTGGGCTCTGTTAAGATCCCCACTTGATAGGTGAAGACCCTGAGGGTCAGAGAGGTTGAGTCATGAAACGAGGTCACGCAGCCTGGAAGGAGAGAAGCCTCTGTGGGAACCCAGGTCTGCCCCCCCCAGCCAAACCTGAGTTCTCCACATACCCCCGTCCCGAGTCCAACTAATACTTTCCCCGCCCTCCCCAGCAGCAGCGATGATGGCGACGAGGAGTTACAGCGCTGCCGGGAGGCGGCTGTGTCTGCGTCCGACATCCTCCAAGAGTCCGCCATCCACGGCCCTGTCCCCGTGGAGAAAAAGAAGAAGAAAAAGTTGAAAAAGAAAGCCAAGAAGGAGGACAGCACTGTCGTGGCTGCTACCGCCAGCAGCAAGGCCGCATTCGGGAGGCGGGCAAAGGAGTCTGTCCAGCTCAATGGAGACCAGGCGCCCCTTGGGACCAAAAAGAAGAAGCGGAAGAAAAAGGCAAAGAAGGCCAATGAGGCCTCCTCGTCCCCACCAACAAAGAGCGCTGCTGCCGTGCCCTCAAATTGAGTCCAGTGTGCGGGCCGGGAGCCCACCAGCTCAGGCTTCCCACAGGGACTAGGCCTGTCCAAGCCCCGAGTCCCTCTCCAATGCAAGAACTTGGCTGGTGAGTCCAGGCTCTGCCCATGACTGGGGCCAGCCCAAGGGTCGGGGTGAAGAAGTGGTCATAGGGTGAGCAGGGCCTGCCCTCCTGTGCTCCCCCTGGGCCACGGCAGACCTGTGGTACCAGAACACTCTGTGACCCCAGGAAGAGGGAGATTCCCAGTTACTCAAGGCTGAAGGCCAAGTAGTAGAGCTCCCACTGCCTCAGCCTGGTGCAGGAGACGACCTGAAGAAAACAAGGTGGGGTGGGGCCCTGAGGCCCCAGAGCCCCTGTGTATCTCCCTCCACACAGACTTCATAAAACACTGTCTAGAAAAGAAAGAGTGAGATCTACTCTGCCCCCACACCTCGTTTTCCAGAATTTTCTGTCTCCACAATGTGAATATGCCATGCATGATCGTGTCTCTGAGCCAGCCAGATTATGGAAAATAAATTGCCGAGGGAACGGAAATGTAACGGAGGGACCTGGGTGCTGCCCCTGAGTCGGTGCTGAACTTGATGAGCATCATGCAGGTGGGGTCCTCCTGCCTACACCCCAGGAAGTGTTCCGACACCCCAACTTCAAGACTGCAGGAAGTGTCACAGCACTCATGGCCTGGGACTCCTGGACCCACGTGTTCTGCAAGAAGGAGAAGTTCACGGTGAAGGTGGTGTTCTGGCTCTGTGGCCTGGCCTCAGAGATTTGGTGGATCCAGGAAGACAGAGGTGGGATGTGAGAGTGTGTGTGCCGGCCTTGCCCCTCCTCAGGCCCGGAGCCCCCTTCCTCCTGCCCAACCCCACCTACACGACAAGCAGGATGTTCGACACAGTCCATGTTTACTTTACTAAAAGTTAAATAAATGTACAGGCTTGCTCTCAGCTGACTGCAGGCTGCACTGATGCTCGTTCTCCCCTCGCCCCATCCTCAGTCCAGGATGGAGGTGGTCTACGAGGGCTGGGTTATCTGCAGCAGCCCCCCGGGGGGAGATGAGGGCACGTGAGCCCTGGGCTGATAACGGCTGCCTTGTTGCTCAGGACCTCAGCCTCCTTGGGGTGGAGGCGGGGGCGGCTGAGAACCCCTCCCCTCAGCCAGCTGGCCCTAGCTCCCAGGCGCAACCCCTCCACTGATCTTGCCTCTCTTCTCCCTCTGGGCCCCTCAGCTCTGCTTCCCCGGCCTTGCTGCTTGCTTAGTTCAGCAGCTTCACTGAGCCGGGAAGGGTCTGCCACCCCATAGCCTCAACTTGGCACCAGGCTCCCACCAGGGGCAGGGATGACGCCTTGGCCTGCAGGGGTGGGAGCTTTCCAGATGCAGGATGCCAGGCTGGCCTCAGAAGGTGTGTTGCTCAGGGGGGACAAACATGGAAGAAAACCGGAGGTCACAGGTCAGGGAGAGGTTTGGCTCTGGATGAGGAAAGCTGGAGAGGCCTGCATTTCCCCAGGCCCCAGCCCAGAGGAGCCACTCAGGTGAATGGGGGACAGGTAGGTCCAAAGGGGCGTGCGGTTAATAGCAGGGGGGCTGGGTGGAGTGGCCTGATTGGGGCATAGGTGACAGAATTGGGGCCACAATGACCTAGGACCTCTGCCAGCTGCATGGGCTGCTGTCCTGAGAAGTGTGGCTGGCAGTTCCCTGCGGGGTGCAAGGGCTCCCAGCCTCGGGGTGGTTGTGTTCCAAGCAACAAGATTTACCCTGGGCAGCAGGGACAGTCCCTCCCAGTGTCCCACCAGGAATAGGCTCTGCTCTCCAGCTCTCCACGGTCCCCACTTGGGCACTGAAGCAACCCTCCTCAGGTGGAGGCGCCTCAGAAGCCCCCGTTTCTGAAGCTGGCAAGATGGGGACAGGGACTGAGGCACAGTTTTCCAGGGATGAGCAGGTGCCCAGTGAGCAGTAAAGGTTTGCAGCTTCAGATGTCCTGGTCACCCCTCCAGCAGACTGTGGAGGCTCCAGGGCCCCTGGGAGGCCATGGTTACTGGGAAGAAGAGGCCATCTGCGTGGAGATGAAGGTCTCGATGACACCGTGGTTGGACGGCAGCAGGTGGCCATGGCCATTGGTGGAGTCGGAGCTCTGGTACAACACCAGGCTGCTGGAGGACACTGCGGAGGCAGAGGAGGTGGCTGGTGCCCGCCACGCCCGGCCCGACCCCACACCCCCCCACCACCGTCCCTGAGGGCGTTTGGGGGGGGGAAGGAGCGCCCCCACCACCTCCTGAGTTTCAGCAGGTTATTAGAACCCCAAAGTCACACCTCAGCTCTCAGGCCTTATTAACCCAGCCCTGCTCCAGGGCCCCCAGGATGTGGCCCCCACAGCCCCAGCCCAGTTTAGCGAGTACGTCAGAGGAGCCCTGGTGAGCCAGCGTCGTGGTTCGTTTCATGCGTCAGCTTTGCTTTTTAGTATCCAGTTATGATCCAAAGCCCAATCCAGACATCGCCGTGTATTTTGCAGATGTGGTTAACACCTACACCAGTTGATGTTAAGCAGAGGAGATGTCCCTTGACAGTGTGGGTGGGCCTCATCCAATCAGTGGAAGCCTTTAGTGCAAAAGCTGATGCTTCCCAGAGAAGGAGACTGCAGCAGGGTCTCCTGCCCTGCAGCTTTCAGATGCAGACCCCACGGTTGTATGAACCAATTTCTTAAACACGTGTGTGTGTATCCCTATTGGTTCTGTGTCTCAGGAGAACCCTGACGGATTCACACGGTTACTGAATGGACATAGAGTTTGGACCCGGGTCTGGGTCCTGGCCCCACCTCCAAGCCCCTCTCCTCCTCGAGTGCTTTCTCATCTGGAAAACAGGGATGCTGCCGCCCACCTCATGGGTCGAGCACAGAGCCTGGACAGCGGAGCCCTCAGGGACCGTCCCTGCAGCCTCCAGGACTGGATGGAGGACCCCAAGACTCATACTTAGCAAGTGGCCACCCCGGGTCTCAGAGCCCAGCAGCCTGACTCCACAGTGCCTGCTCATCACCGTGGCATTGCGGGCTGCAGACTCGGGTTCTCGGGGGATGGAAATGCAGGGTTCGGGTGGGACGTGGCAGGCTCTGTGGTTGCTATGGGGGAACATGAGTCCTTCTGACTTCCCAGGAGAAGCCAGAAATGTGTGAGAGCTCTTAATTTTTAAACTGTTGGCAACAGATTCAAAAAACACTAAACGCTGAGCCAGAGCAGCACGTCCACGAGTCCCTTCGGGCACCCCCAGCAAGCCCTTCCCACGCCTCCTGATGCCACCCTACTTCGGGTTAGCTCCTTCCTCAACCGAGTTAACGGATGTTCTGTTGAGACAGGCCCGCTTCCTGTGGTTTCGCACCCCTCTCGACTCACTTCAGGGGAGCACCGGTGCCCCCTCGCATGTCCACCCCTCCCCCCCACCCGCCGCGTCCACCTCCCTCAGCTGTGCGGACAGCGAGGAGGGGCGGTGTGGGGCAAGGGGGCTCACCGGTGGGGCTGGCGCTGAGCCGATGGGTGGGCTGCAGCTGCTGGATGCCAGCAGGGTCCTGGCCAGGAATGTGGATGGTGGTGGCCTGAGACACGGGCGTGTGAAGCCCGGACTCGCTGGAGGCCTCAGCATCTGAGGTGAAGACCTGGCGGAAGAGCAGCTCCTGAGCCCCGCCGAGATGTGCGCTGGGGCAGGGCCCATGGGCGGGTGGGGCCGGCCCGGGCCTTACCTGCTTGGTGGGCGTGAGGCTGGCCAGGGCGCTCAGGTTAGTGGTGTCGGTGATGAGCATGGTCTGCGGAAGCAGGCCCGTGTGGGTGTACTGGGCCACCTCGGGCTTGTGACTATAGAGGGCTGGGGGAGGGAGGAGAGAGCAGGGTACAGACATGGCGCCTGGGTCCGGCTGGGCTCCTCCCACGAGGGGCCTCAAGGCAGGGGTGCGGGCCTGGTGAGCCCCCCAGTGGGGCAGTGGTCCATGACTCAGGGCTGATTTCTAAAAACTGGGGGCTCCAGATAGAAGAGATGGGTGCTGTCCCCAACCGCAGGGGCCTGCTCTGCCTGTCTTGGGAGGAGCCTGGGGGAGGTGGGGAGCCCAAGCCCACCCCCACGGTCACCCGGAGAGTGCAGGTGTGGAAGGGACCCAGAGATGCAGGTGCTGATGGGGTACTTAGTACCGGTCCCGGAGGAAAGGGTCGGCGCCCAGGTGAGGGGGCCGCATCTTATCCCCCACCTCCAGGACCCCCTCTACAGTGTAACCCAGCATTTCATCTGTAGTCCCAGCCCCCGCAAAACACACAGACACCAGCAGAAAAGTGACACAAATCACCTATGCTCACATGGACTCAGATAAAAACACAGCCACCCACATACACACATAAATGGTGCCCTCTACCACATGCACACAGATGTTCAGTTCCACAAATCCCTCATCCAAGAGTCCAAGTTCCAGAAAAGTCTGCAAACCAACAGGTGTTCATCATGGTACTAGAGCTCATCTGGTGGCGAAGTCGGTCCTGAGCCTATTAACCCTGCTTCGTGGAATTCTCCCTTTGGCTGCAGAAACTGTGGTGTTTGATGAAGGGGTGTTGGACCAAACCAAGCCTTGCTGGGAGTGTTGTATGTCCTCATGGTGTATGCACCATATTATCTTTCTAACAGCTGAGAGCTACACATGGCCCCAAGGGCACACGTGGGTGTGTACACATGACCACATGGATTCACACGCTGAAATGTATTCAGCCCACGGACGTCCATCTGAGCACCCCCGGAGTCCCCGTCACAGAAGCACTCACACCTCTGTGAGTATCAGACACACACACAGACCACAGCACCTTCCATGCGCCTCTTCCCCTGGGTTCCCACCCCCCCCACCCCCCAGCAGGGGGCCAAGGGGTGCTTACCGTGGGGGCTCTGCAGCTGGGCCATGGTGGCCATGAAGGGGCTCTGGGCCACGTGGCTCTGCACAGAGGGCATGAGCGGCTGCTGGTAGGAAGGGTGCAGCGGCTGCGAGAACTGGACGGGCTGCAGGGTGGTCAGGCTGCTGCCCATGCTGTTGATGACCGGCACGCTCTGTGCCTGCGTGGAGGTCAGGCCTGGAGCGGTGGGAGGGGCAGGGGTCGGCCAGGCCTCTGGCCACCTCCTCGGTGTCCCCAGGCCCAGCCCAGACCCCCAGGGGCACCTTCCCTCCCTCCTAGATCCCGTGGGTTGGAGGAGGGGACGAGGTAATCCAGAAACAGCCTTGCACTGTGTTAAGGCTCTGGCAAGTGACTCCCCCTCTCTGAGATGCTAGCTCACTATAAGGGCAGGGAGTGTGTCAAAGAGGGTTCCCTGGTGCCCTGGGGTTCCACGGCAGTGCAAAGGCCCTGGGGCCTAACTCTCGGTATCCCTTCCCCCACAATTCCCTATCTGTCATATATTGAGCTTCTGCATAATAGTTCTGTGAATAAAGTCTTTCCGAGCTTTAAAAAAAAAAAATAAAAGCTAGAAAATGTCAGTCCCCCTTAGGCTGCCCTGTTTTCCAGTAGCTGTTTCAGCATCTCAGGTACTGTGTAACTTATGTGTTACATTTATCGTCTGAGTCCCGGGGCTCTTTGGTTCACTTGTGTATCACTGGTGGAGCATGGGGCAGGCACTCAATAAATCTATGAATGAATGAGTCCCAGTGGCTCTCCCCATTCCTGGATTCAGCAGGAACCCCCGTGAGCCCCTCACCTAGACGGCCCCCTTCCAGCCCCACCAGCTTACCAATGACCAGGGTGGAGGCTCCCGTGTTGGTGAACGTGGGGCCCAGCGAGGTAGGCTCTCCAGGCCCAATGGCCATGACCCCGGGAAGCGAGGCCATGATGAGATTCTGGGGCTGCTGGCTGAGGCCTGGGGATGTCTGCTCCAAGCTGTGCAGTGCTGTCAGGGTGCTGACCGGGGGCAGGGGGCCCCCAGTGGCTGAGACCTTGGAGGGGAAGCCAGACTGAGTCAGGGCGGGGCCCCACCCTGCCTCCCTGGGGACTGCCCCAGAATCTCCCAGCCAAAGGGAGATGGGGGGAGGGCGGGGGGACACTCACCAGCTTGGCCTCTGTGCTCAGCAGACTGTGACTGGGCTCCAGGCCGGTGGGAGACACTTGATGCAGGGGTGCAGACACCGTCACCAAGGGACCGCCGCTGCTGGAGGGCACTTCCGCCCCCTCACTGGTGGCAGGCTGTCCATAGCGCACGCCTGGAATGGGAGCAGTGTCCAATCTCAGCGCCCCACTTCCCTGCCCATGTCCACGGCCCTCAACATCCCAAACTGTATTGGCTTGCTCGGGCCACTCACACCACCTTTCTCTATGCAGCCAGCAGATTCTGCTAGAGTATCCACTTCCTGCCAGCCCCTGTGCTGGCTGCTTGTTCAACCCCTTGAACACAAGCTTTGTGTTTTATTAGCTCTGTGGCCCCCACTGCCCAGGGCTGCACTGGACATGCAGTTGGTGCTCAATGAAAGACAACAGAGCCAAACTGAACTGAGGCTAATGAAATTAAACCGCGGCAAACTTGAATAGAATGAATTGGAATTAGTTGAATGAAACTGATCAAGCTGAATCAGACCTGAAATGAGCTGAGATTGATTGAGTTGAACGGGATCAAATCGCATTGGACTGAAATTGAACTGAGCGATACGAGATTAACTGAATTTCCTTGAAATACATTTAGTTAAACTGATCAATTGGGAATGGGACTGGACCAAACTGTATGAAATTTAAATGAAACTCAGATTATAGTGAGTTGAACTGGATTGAGTTGAATTGAACTGAGCTGAAAGGAATTGAGTGGGCTTGATCGGGAATGAATTGCAGTAACCAAACTCCAGTGGGGTTGGAGTGAATGCAGTGGACAGAAGAGAGGGCAGTGGGTGGAGCCGAGTGGTCAGAGGAGGGGAGAGGGGTGGGGTGGAGAGGGCAGCGTGAAAAGAGTAGGAGCCATAATGAGATACTAAGTGGTTTGCGGGGCTGCTGCCCCCGGGGAGGTGCTCCCCAGCTCTTCCACTTACCCCCATATTCGCTTTGCCCACTGCCCAGTCCCCCTGCCCACTGGCACTCACCGTGGACCTTACTGGGGGAGAGGGCGGGCGGGGGCAGGCCAGGGGAGCTGTGGGCAGGCAGCACAGGGCTGGGACCTGGCCCCGGTGGCGGCCCGCTGTACGTGTCCATGGCCAGCTTGTGCCTAAAGGCTTCCTCCTTGCGGCGATTGGCAAACCAGTTGTAGACACGCACCTCTGTGACGAGGTTGGAGCCCAGACCCTGGGCCTGCGACGGCGACACCCCTCTCTGGATGCACTCCGCCCTGCAGAGATGGGCACGGTGAGCCTCCTGGGGCTGGGGGAGGGTTCTGAGAATCAGGGCTCTACCTGAGCGTCTGCTGCAGCTGACAGACCTGGCTTCTGAGCCCAATCTGCTCTGTGATCTTGAGCAAACGGCTTAGTCTCTCTTAAGTCTCTTCATATAGAGTGAGCACAGTAAGTGGAGGGTGAGTGAGACGAGCAGCCCCACTCAGGGGCGCTTGGGTAGGTGGGGCAAGCAGTTCCTAACCATTTTGGCACCAAGGACCAGTTTCGTGGAAGACAATTTTTCCATGGGCTGGGGAGCGGGGAATGGTTTTGGGGTGATTTAAATGCATTACATTTATTGTGCACTCTGTTTCTGCTGGGGCTTCCCTCTGCCTGCAATGCAGGAGACCCAGGTTCGATCCCTAGGTCAGGGAGATCCCCTATAGAAGGGAATGGCTACCATTCCAGTGTTCTTGCCTGGAGAATCCCATGGACAGAGGAGCCTGGCAGGCTACAGTCCATGGGGTCACAGAGTCAGACACGACTGAATGACTAACACTTGTTTCTATTATTATTATATCAGCTCCACATCACGCCATCAGGCATTAGATTTGGAGGTTGGGGACCCCTGGGTGGAGGGTGGGTGCCAGAAATAGAGCTAGGTTTCAGGCCCTGAGCAGGAGCTGAGAACTCCTGGGCCAACAGCAGGAGCTCTCAAAACCAGAGGAGACTCCCTGGTTTTGAAGGAAGGAAGGAAGCCCTCCTTCCCCAGCCTCTCCCCAGCCCAGACCCAACCAGCCCTGCTGACTACCAGCCATCCTACCTGTTGCACTCCTCCACCAGTGCCTCCCGCTCCTCCTTGCTGGGGTTCTTCTGCCTCTCGTAGGCCTGGAACAGGATCTGCTGGGATGCTGGGCCCCATTTGAAACGGTTTCTGCGCCCTTTCTTGGTTGGTAGCTCATCTCCCGCAGGCTCTTCAATCAACCCACCCTGGCCAGCGTGAGTGAACTCTGTGGGCACAGAGAGCCATGAGCAGGACACTGGCCAGTCCTACCTTCCCGAATCAGCCTGAGCATGCCTCTGCTTCTTTGTCATTCCTAAGGTGCTGAGCCAGAGGAGCTTACAGCTCAAACCCCGAAATCGCCTAATCCAGTGATGACAAACACACAGCCCACATGTCACTCCTTGCCTCACCTGTGTCCAAGGCAGACATCACTAATCAACCCCTACACACTTTTCTACTGGGCCAAGATATAATCTCACAGTCCTCAATACAAGGCTCCAGGTAAGCATCACCTTTTTATTCACATTTGACACATATGCCATCCCATTTTACAGATGATGTAACTGAGGGTCAGGGAGGTTGAATATTTTTCCAGGGCCACACAGTAGAGCAGAAACCTGAACTTATATCTCCTGAGTAGATTCAAGAGTTATTTTCAATATTCTAGACTCGAAAATCAAGCTTAAGGTACAAGTATTAGCCAGGAGAGAAGAGACCCAGCCACTTTCTCAGCTGATTCTTTGGTAGGAGGCCAGTTAATGGCACCTCCAAATAACAGAATAGCTAGCTGCCCTTCAAACAGCAGGGGAAATATATATGTGTATATATATATATATATATATATATAGTCCATGGCTCACGTATGCACGGGGGTCATCCTTAGTGGCTCAATGTTCACCATATTCTTGCCTGGGAAGCCCCATGGACAGAGGAGCCTGGAAGGCTACAGTCCACGGGGTCGCAAAAGTCGGACACGACTGAGTGACTAAACAGCGTTAGTATATGCATATAATACCTCTGGAAGGATCTGTATGAGACTAGGAATGCCCGTGGCTGCTTTAGAAGAAGACACCTAATTTTTATTGTAAAATCTTTCTTCTGTTTTTTAAAACTAAGTATGAGTATTGCCTTTAAAAAAAAAGCTAGATAGTTATAAAAGAAACATCAAAAAACATCTTTTTTACACTTAGGCTCAAAAGTGTGGAAGTGCACAAGGGATTCTGTGGGGTATGAAGTTCAGGTGGTAAAACCCACCATGCGCTGAATGAGAACGCTCCTAGCTGTCCCCAGGTTTGCAGCAGAGGGTTCCCTGAGCATGCGCCTAGCCTCTGAGCCTTCACTGCTGCTGTTCCTTCTGCCGGAACACTCTTCCCTGCATCTTCAGGGGTCGAAATTCAACTGACACTTCAAGACTGAGTGGAGAGGCCATGCTCCTCGTGTGACCCCTCCTGATGCCCCGCCTCCCTGAGGAAGAGGAGCTGCTCCTCTTCAAGCTCAACACTTGGAAACGTTCCCTGTGGTGTTCTGTGCTGGGCCTGGCACATGGTGCGTGTTCCAGAAACGCTGGCTCTCGCTGGTGTTACCACATTTTAATTCTTGTCTCACCGAATCATGCGGATTTGTCCTCCAGCTTCCCCTCCGCACGGGACGCTCTTAGAAGGCAGGGACCCCATTCATCCATCTCTCGATGCCCAGGATCAACCCTCTTCCCCTCCCCCAGAGCGCCTCCGGCAGAACAGGTGATACACGCTGGTTGAATCCCGCCCCCCCGCCACCCCCTGACCCCACCTGCTCCTCAACTTTGTCCCTCTGCCTATCCGAGGAATGGGGAGGGGGCGAGACTTCCAGCCCCTGCCCTCGAGCTGCAGGGAGTCCCAGGCCCTGCGGGGAATACGGGGCTGCTGCCAGTCATTACTTACGCTGGGCCACCTCTCGCTGCTTGCAGACGTACCAGGTGTAGAGGGCGGCTCGCTTCTGTGTCTTCATGGGCGTGCCCTTGTTGAGGTGCTGGGACAGGTGCGACTGGTTGAGGCCGGTGGTGTCGACCACCTCCCGCTGCGGGATGTTGTGCTGCTGCAGGTAGGACTTGACCATCTTGGCCACGCGCCACGGGTCCTCCCTGGGGGAAGGATGGTCTGCTGAGCCAGGGGTGGGTGCTGGGAGCCCTGTCCACCCGGGAGGCAGGGATGGTGGATGGAGGCAGGTGTGGAGCCCAGGGGCCTGTGGCCCGACTCAGGGATGGGGAGGTATGGGCGCTCATGTCAGGACACAAGGACATGGGGCAGAGACTCGCAGACACATACACGTGGCAGACCTGTAGACACAGGCCCCAACCAGCCCTGCACACACACAGGGACAGATAAAGGTTTAGAAACACACAGGGACACATGGACACACATGTGGACTTACACAGGCTCCCCCTGGAAGCTACACAGGCCCATGGGGAGGATCCTAACCTTTGTGCCTCCATTAAAGACCCCTCCTCATTCTACCTAGAAATGTTATTTGTGACTGTGTCTTATCCACTGAGAGATTGTAAACACCTGGAGGGCAGGAACTGTCTGGTTCTCAGCACCCAACATAGGCCTGACATAGACTATGCCCTTGGTGACTGCATGAATGAATGAGTGTATGTGTATATGGATGGATACATGGATGGATGCTTGGATAGGTAATGAGATGGCCAATGGATTGATGGTGGGTGGTGGGTGAGAGGATGGATGGATGGATAAATGGGATGGTTGATGGGTAGATGGGATAAATGGACAGATAGGTGGGTATATGGATGGACAGATTGTAGGGTAGATGGGTGGATAAGTGGATAAAAGCATGGATGGATGGATGGATGGATAGGTAATGGGATGATCAATGGATTGATGATGGTGGATGGCAAGTGAGAGGATGGCTGATAGATGAAGCAATGTGATGGTTGATGGGTAGATGGTAGATGGATGGATGAATAGATGGTAAGTTAGATGGATGGATGAGCGTTGAAAGTGTGGATGGATAGGTGGGTGGGTGGGTGGATGTATAGATGAGAGTGATCTACTGGAAAAAATTGAATCTGCCAAGAAGGCAAGAAACATGATTCTCCCACTTGACAGCCAGGGTCACTGAGGCTCAAAGCACTGCGTCACATGTACCTCTTGCCCAAGGTCATGGGGTCAGCCCAGCAGAGTCCCACCCCAGCTCAAGGGATTTAGTTCTAAGTCAACTCATCTGGCAAAAATTACATAGTGTCAAAATGCCTTCTGAAAATCTGCACTAAAGCCTAGATGGTGGCGTGACCAGTCTTGGCACAGCCCTGAGGCGGATGGCGAGTTTTTCAACAGAGTCGCAAGGTTATGGGCTGGCATCCCAAGAACTTCTTGTAAGAAAAAATGTACATAGTTCTGTCACTGGAGGGATTCAAGGGACCTGAGGCCACTGTGTCTCAGCCTCCTGTCCTCTGCTCACCACGAGGAACAGAAAGGGTCAGGCTGCCTGTATGATATAAATTAATCTCTCTCCCTCTCCTGCTCTGTCTCAGCCTTCCTGTCTTCCCTTCATCCTCTCTTGAGTTTCTGTTACATCACATGCCAGATACAACCGTGCTGAGAGAGACAGAACTGGGATTTGAACCCAGGTCTGTGCAATCCCAAGCCTGTGTTCCCACCGCCTGGTCACAGTGGTTTGCTTTTAGAAATCAGAGGCTTCCAGTACTGGCACATGTGACGAATGGCGTGTGCCGGAGGTTACATGTTGCTGTGTCACGTGTTGCAGCCAGAGATTGGAAACAAGCTAATAAATGTCCAGCACAAGGACACTGATCAACCCAGTCGTGGTGCCTCCCTCAAATGCAGCCATAGAAACCCACTGAGAAAGCGCTGCAGAAGCCCAGCTGGGACAATCTGTCTGGTACATCTGCTGTGTGGGGCCTTCCCTGATGGTCCAGTGGGAAAGGATCCTCCTGCCAATACAGGAGACACAGGTTCGAGCCCTGGTCCTGGGAGGTCCCACATGCCTCAGGGCAATCGAGCCCATCCGCCACAACTGCTGAGCCTGTGCTCTAGAGCCCAGAGCCACAACTCCCAAGCCCCGGTGCCCCAGCTACTGAAGCCCACGTGCCCTAGAGCCCATGCTCCCCAACAAGACAAGCCACCACTATAAGCCCACGCACTGCAACTAGAGAGCAGCCCCCACTCGTTGCAACTAGAGAAAAGCCCACACAGCCACAAAGACCCAGCACAGTCAAAAAATAAACAAAATTATATATTAAAAAAAATAAACAAAGATAAAATTTAAAGTGGTGTGGGGCTGCCAGGTCGGTTTCCCATGAAATGGTGGGATTCCGCGCCCCCATCAGGTAACCTGGAGCCAGCCAATCAACATGCGCCTAGCAAGAAAAAGGGAACCTATCAGGGGAAAGCTGAAAAGCCCGCGAACGCCCAAGTTTGAAAAAAGCCCGCGAAGGTTTGGGCCAATATTACTTTGCAAACATGTAACCAATCGGCTTAAGCCAGCTACCAACTGCTTATGCACACCTTATAAACTGGGTAACAGCTTGGGCTCAGCGCTCTCTGACCCCGTACCACTGCGTTGGACGCGCGGCGGGAGCCCTGACTCGAGTCAGCAATAAACTTCCCTTTTTTGCGAGTTGCATTGTCTTGGAAGCCTTCTCTCTTCCCACTTAGGGATTCGGACATCGGGCATAACGGTGGGACAGAGACTTCCCTGGTGGTCCAGTGGTTAAGACACTGTGCTCTCTAGGCAGGGGGCCCAGGTCAGGGAACTAGATCCTATATGCCTCTGCTAAGAGCCCGCATGAGGCAACAAAGCTCTTGCATGCAGCAGGTAAGACCTGGTACAGGCAAATTTAAAAAAAAAACTTTTTAAGTGGGATAAAAGATTTCTACATATTTGCTTGTGTTCACGTAAAGTACCAGAAGGATACAGAATGAACTGGAGACACTGCTTGGATGCTAGGGACAGGGCGGGGTGGGGGGGCTTTTCTTTGTTACTCCTCTGCGCTTTGTAAATTATATGATACAGGATCATGTATCATAGATATCAATATCATATATTGATAATATACTACATAGATCATGTTTAAAACTGAATTGTGAAAAAAAAAATATCTAAAAGCAAATTAACCCCGCCCCCAGCACTCTAAAGCCCACCCCGCACTACCTTCTCCCCTGGCCCTTCTCTTTCCTCCAAGAACCAGTCTCACCTGCCCCCCTGACGGTGACTTTCTGAGACACAAGGGCACAGAGACCTTCATCCTCATTGGCCCTCTGACTTCCTCCTTTTTTATCAGCAGTTCCCATGCAGGAAGGGAAGATAGGGACAGACGCAGTTAAAACAATCAGCAGTCAGTCCAGCAAAGTCCCCTTCGTGTAAGCACGGTAGCCGGGAGAATGCACGTTTTTGAGCATTCACAGGGAGCCGGGCACTGTGCTAAGGGCTGGTCATTTAAATCTTAACCCTAGGAGGTAGGTGCTACTTGTCCGCTCATTTCACAGGTGAGAAAACTGAGGCTCAGAGAGGTGCATGCTTGTCCAAGGGGACCTCACTGGGACTCAGGACTATTTGGCTTTGCGTGAACCCCTGTCATCTGCCTGAGCCCTGTCTCCCTGCTTTCAGGGGCCCTTAGAAGCCTCTCCTGCCCACCACCCACCCCCCTCCACCAGCTCCCCAGATGCCAGTCAGTCCTGGGAGGGAAGGGCAGGACAAAGTCCAGTCTTGCGCTCCACAGCAAACATGTTTATCTGATTCCGGGGCTGGGCTGCTCATGGCCTCCCTCCTCCCCCAACTGCAATCATCCACCTCCTGAGAGAGAGGTCCTCCCTCCCTCCGTCTCTTCTCCAGAGAGAAGGAGCCCTGTCTTCCTTCAGCAGCGCCTCTCCGGGCTCAAACTAAAGATCTGCTCTCTCTCACTGCCCATCTGACCCTATGTATCTCTGTCTGCCTGTCATTGTTTCACACACTTTCTCTTTCTCTCTGTTTTCTGCTTTCTCCACCTCCACGAAACATACACACACAGTCTCCAAGAACATGGCTCTTTTCAGGACATTTTCCCCAAGGCAGAATTAGGAGGCCAGGTCTCCAGGCATCTCCTGCTTTCACTCTGGTGGGTTTGAGTCAAACCAATCCCCGGTTCGAATCCCACCACTGTGATCTCACACCCGTTGTGTACATGCCTCTCATCTGCCCTGTAACAGGATGACAGGTCACTCCTGCCTCCCAGTTGTTTGTTGGGAGAACTGGCTGAGTTTCTAGTAGGGGTGAAACTCATCACTAGAGTTTGATGATGAGGTCAGGGTCAGGCACACAGTAAGTGCTCAGTAAGCGGAATGGTATTGCTACCACCACCACCTCCATCATCACCATCCACAACCTAGTCCTGGGGCCTCCCAGCCCCACGGCAGACGGAAGAGGGCTCAGGTGGAGATCTGCCCATATCTCCCTCCTCCCACCTCCTGCCGGTTCTGGAGTCCCTTAGAGGTTTGAGACTTTGGGCCTCTTGCTCACAGGCCCATGGGATTTTGGTGGGTCCAAGGTTGCCGAGCTGGGAGACCAGCCTGAAGGGCCATTTATCTGGAGGGGAGCCGAGTTCTCAGCGTGAACCCCAACTCTACCACTCACCCTCCAGATGGCTCTGGGAAGTTGCTTAGCCTCCATGTGCCTCAGTTTCCTCAACCGTGATAGAGGCCTAATAATATTTCATAGGTTATCAGGAGGAGAAAATGAGTTATATGCATTTGTAAGCCCTTCATAAGCCCTAGGGGACTTCCCAGGTGGCTCAGTGGTAGGGAATCTGCCTGTCAATGCAGGAGACACAGGCTTGATCCCTGGGTCGGGAAGATCCTCTGGAGGAGGAAATGGCAACCCACTCCAGTATTCTTGCCTGGGAAATCGCATGGACAGAGGAGGCTGGCAGGCTACAGCCCATAGGATCTCAGAGTCGGACACGACTTAGTGACTGAGCCTGCACGTACACACGAGCCGTAGAGAACTGCATGGAAGTCAGTCAGTGGTTAACAGAGAGACTGACGGAGGAGGGTAAAGAGGGGGATGAACGTGTCAAAGGCAGGCATGCGGCCTCAGGGTGCTGTGTCAAGTGTGGGGGACTTGGGTCCAAGCCCTGGCCTTACTACTTTGTCAGACTGCCTCGGGCAGGTCACTTTGCCTCTCTGAGCCATAGTTTGCTCATCTGTAAAATGGGACCGCTGATAATAGCAGTCGTTTGTCGCACTTACATGCTGTTTAACCCTGTGGGTAAGCGTTATGATCAGCTCTGCCTTGCAGAGAACACTGTGGCTCAGAAAACTGAAACGGCCTGCCCCAGCCAAGGTGGGGTTCAAGTCTAGGCAGGGGTGTCAGATTGTCCCACCTCAGCCCCTGTCTTCCTGCGTCTCCGGGCCTTGGTACTGCCCGATGGAGAGGACCAGAGACCCTCGAGTTTGAGCCGCTCAGGGATAGGAGGGCCTAGGAGGACGCTCGGGAAGGAGCCCTGGGACAGGCTCCTCCTTTGGCCATAGCAGCAGATGTCCCCAGGGCGCAGAGAAACCTAGTTGTCACTCAGTCATTCATGAAGAGTGTCAGCTACTGGGCTGGAGATCAGAGGTCTGAGTGGTGAACACAGCTCTTGAAGAGCTTCGGTAGTCACGTCCTGAGACGGAAGATAGATAAATAAGATGATCACAAGTAATGATACATTTCAAGAGAAAGTCAACAAAAATAGGGGAAGAGAGAGTGATGATGCTGGGACCTACCTTTAGATGGGGTGATCAGGGAGGGCCTCCCCGACGGGGTGATATTGGAGCAAAAGGGGGAAGGAATTGGTCATGGGAAGATCTGGAAAGAAGGTTCCAGGGAGAAGGTACAGCACGTGCAAAGGTTCTGAGGTGGGAATCATTGAAGTCAGTGTAGTGTTAAGTGGAGGACAGTGGTGGCAGGGGGAGAGATACCTGAGGAAGAGGTCGAGGAACCAGGGTGGGCGGGGAGTGTGAATTTTACTCAGTGTCCAGGTCAGGGAAACCAAGGCAGGATGAGAAGAGACATGTCCAAGGTAACACTGGGTCACACCTGGCTTCCTGGGGAAGTCCTACCCCTTCACCATCCTTTCCAGCCTCAACTTCCCCCACCGCCCAGGGCCGTCATGGGGGTCCCCCACCCCTCTGCAGCCTGTGTCCTGAGGCCCAAGGCCCCACTTTCCCCCCTCAGGGCGTTTTCAGATCCCTTTTGTTACCTGAACAATAAGTAACCCAGGTAGTTAGTTATAAACTCCGCAGGAACAAGGAGCTGGTTGATAATTTATAGCAACATCTCAAATTTAAATGGAAAGTAAATAGCATGCTGTTAGCATTAAAGAAAACCCAATCGGGGCGGGAGGCAAGCACTCCAGCTTCCTCGCAGCTTGGGGCACCTCGCTCTCTCCCCAGCCCCTTCTTCCAGCTGCATGTCAGACCCGGGCCCCTCCTGGCTCCTCTGCTTCTCCAGGTCTCTGTCTCCATCTCCCGAGACGCAACCCCCACCCCCCATCTCTTCCTTCTTGTCTCCCCTCTCTCCCTCCGCCTCCAGGTCTCTGCTGGTCCCCAGGAAGCACTTTGACCCCTGCTTCCCGCTCGCGTGCTGTGGATCAAGCCTTCCTGTCCACCCACCGTCCCACTGAAGGGGCTACTGGTCAAGAGGCCCCCCCCAGCCAGGTAAGGCCTTTGCTACACCACTTGCCCCTATACACCCCTGAAAGCCCCCAGCGCATCTGGGGCCCTGAGCAGCTCTGGCCCAGCCCCACCCTGTCCGGGTCTGGTGATGCCTGACGCCATGCCCCTCCCCTGCAGCCGGCCAGGGCCCTTTGCCCTCCTCCTCCTACCAACTCAGGGGGCCCCGGCTGCTGCCCTGCCCCCTCCCCGACCCTCGGAAGGCCTGGCAGGCCCTGAGGGCTCCCTGAGGGATGGATCCCGCCCTCCCCCACCCCAGGCTGGGATCTGGACCTTGGACAGAAAAGAGATAGTCTTTGGGAACTCTTCCTCAGCAACCCCCCCCCAGTCACCCCCAGTCGCCCCCAGCTCCGACCCCAGTCCTGGCGATCGGGCACCCAAGAGAGGGATGTGGAGCCCCAGCTGGGTGGCCTTAGTCCAGCTCCTTCCCCTCTCTGAGCCCCAGTTTCCTTTCCTCATCCTTATCTGTATGTAGCTTCCTCCAGAGTTCATCTCAACATCGCCCAAAATGACACCTATGAAACCTCAGCCCGGCACCCCTCCCCGGGCTGTTAGGAGGGAGGTTACAGAGCCTCGGAGGGGGGCTGTCCCTGCAGCCCCCAGGATCCCCTTCCCTCACCTCCAACCTCCCCCACCCCCACCTGGGGGGGAAGTCAGAGTTGGCTCAGGCCTCCCCAGGCTACCAGCCCTGCAAGTTAATGATCACAGGCCTTATCAGAGCCTTTTGCCATTTATAAATTTATAAAACAAAAGAGAAATAATAAAACTCGTGGGTAATTAGTAACCAGCTCAGCTCTGCTGAGGAGAGGGGAGCAGAGGGCTCAGACCCACCCCGTCCTCCGGGAGATGGGTAAAGCCACCCCGTGGGTGGGGGTACGGAGCGGGGAGGCTTCTAGCTGTACCTGCTGGTGATGGGGGGGCCTGAGGCTATGCTGGAAAGGGGAGCAGCTCCCCTTCTGAGGCTCCATTTCCAGCAGGTAAGAAAGACCTGGGTTCTCCCGGCTGAAAGCTCGAGTTCTGGGGAGGCCAAGGGGACCCCCCAAAACCCCAGCCAGGGGTGTGCCCCGAAGCTTAGCAGGGAAGTTAGGATTGGGGGGCTAGAAATGCACCTGATAGCTAAAAATTCCCACCACCAGCCCTTCCCCGGTTCTCTCCCTGGGTACTCAAATTGTGGATACTCTGCTTACTCCCATCTTGGGGTTCCCCTGTGGGGCATGCCCCACTTCCCAAGCTCTGGGCTGGAAGCCTTGGCTCATGGGGATGGGACCCTGCAGAGGGCCAGATCGGGCGCTGGAGGCTCCAACCTTCAAGCCAGAACCCCCCTCCTACCACCTCCAAGCTCTAACGGACCCTGTCCCCGTCGCGACAACCAGGCTATAGCCCATGGGACTCTGGACTGGGAAGGGCTGGGCAGAAGCCGAGGGTGAGTCCCTCTCTTGGGGCTCCTTGGGGGCGGGGGACAAGGGAGGGGTCCTTACTGCAGCAGGGTCTCCACCACGGCCTTCTGGTGGGCCGCCTCCTCCGGGCTGAGGCTCTCCAGCTCCTTGAGGATGGGTGGCGTGAAGTCGTCCCCATCGTCATCCGTCTCGTCCTCCGAGCCCCTGGCCTCCCCCAGCCCATTGGGCAGCTCGGCCAGCTCCCCTCGGCCGCCGCCACTGCCGCAGGACTCCCCCTTGTCCAGGGGGCCATCTCCAGCCAGCAGGTAGGGCCCAGGCTCACCCAGCGCCTGGATCAGCGCCTCTTTGCTCAGGCCTGACTCGAGCAGGGCCGCCAGGAGCTCCTTCTGCAGCTGGCTCAGTTTAGAAACCATGGCTCCACTAGCGCCGGGCCACGCGGCCCGGGGCCACTGAGCCGGCTGCCTCCCCTGACCGCGTGGGCTGGCTCCGTGCTGGCCGGCCCGCAGGCAGGCCCCAGCCAGGCTCCTTGCACCACTGCCCCCCCCAAAACCCCACTAGCCAAGCCCTGTGGGCACCCCCAACCCCCAACCCTGGCCCCAGTGGCCAGTGAATCAGGGCCCCTGCCCGCTCTGTTTACATTGGAGCTGGGGAAATTCTCCAAGGTTCATATTTATCCGTGTGCTTAGCGAAGGGACTGAACTTTGGACTTCACCCTGCGCGGTGCAGGCCTCATGGCAGAGCGGAGAGTGGTAGAGCCGCGGCCTTCCACGGGAATGGGCAGAGTGGAGGGTGGGGGAGGCGGCGATGGGGGGCCCACACAGCTGGGGTGCAAGGAGCTGGGAACCGGGGAGTCCTCCGGGTGACTAGCATCCGGTCCCACCCCCTCGGGACCTCGTAGTGGGTCAGGCTGGAGCCAGAGAACCAAACAGCAGGTTCCCTTGGATTTCCAGGCTGTTGGGCCAACTCTCCTCAAGGGCAGGGGATGGTCATATCCATTTGGGGACGCTCCCCATGGTCAGCCCAGGCACCAGGCCTTCCCAGGAGGAAAAACGCGTTGACTCACGTCTGCTGTGGACCGGGTCTGTAACTCACTTCATTACCTCCGTGAAGCCCCCTAACAGCTGTGAGTGGGCACAGGGATTATGCCCATTTTACAGAGGAGGAAACTGAGGTTCTGTGAGGGTAAGCAACTCATCCAAAGTCATGCAGCTAGCAGGGACAGGACCTGCAGGGTGGAAGCAGAGTGAGGCTACTCAAGTTCTTGACTCAGGCGCAAATTTTAAGGGGATGATGGAAGAACTCAGTAAATCTAGATAAAATAATAGTTTATATAAGGATATTAAAAATTATAAGTTAATGCAAGCCTTAAAAGAATTTAAAAGAAATGTCCACACAAAAGCCTGCACATGAATGTTCACAGCAGAATAATTCACCATAGCCAAAAAATTAAAAAAACATAAATATCCATCAGTGAAAGAATGGATAGAAAAAAACCTGGTCCATCCATACAATGGCATATTATTTGACCATAAAAAGGAGTGAGGGCCTCTCTGATGGCTCAGCATCCATCTGCCACGCAGGAGACACAGGAGACTTGGGTTCGATCCCTGAGTCGGGAAGATCCCCTGGAGAAGGAAATGGCAACCCATTCCAGTATTCTTGCCTGGAGAATCCCATGGACAGAGGAGCCTGGCAGGCTACAGTCCCTGGGGTTGCCAAGATTTGGACACGACTGAGCATACACAGCAAAAGGAGTAAAGTCCTGATTCATACTACAATAGGTGTCGATCTGGAAGACATTATGCTAAGTGAAAAGAAACCAGACACAAAAGGCCATCTATTTGTACGATCTCACATATAGGAAACATCCAGAAGAGGCAAGTCTATATGGTCAGAAAGTGGATTCATGGCCGCCAGGGTTTGGAGGGGTGGGGGTGGGGACAGGGAATGGCTATTTGGTGGGAACAAGGTTTCTTTGGGGACGATGGAAATGTTCTAATATTGATTGAGTGATGTTACACAACTCTGTGACTTTACTAAAATCCGCTGAATTTTTCACTTTAAGCAAACAAACTTTATAATATATGAATAAAATATATTTCTTAATTAGTGCCAAAAATCTGATGAACAAAAAATATCAAATTTTAAATAGAGGCAGGTTCCAGCCCTCCCTCACTTCCCACTGATCCCAGCGCTGGACAAAAACTCATCCTCACACCCCCTGACCCACCTCTTCCCTTTTCCAGTAAGAGCCTGGACGAAACTTCCTGCTGTCTGTTCCCTGGGGTGGCCGTAAGCCCCCAGAACGAGGGGTGCATGCTGTTGCCTGGAGTGGGCAGGGTGGTGCTGAGGCTCCCCCAGGCTGGGGCACCTCTCAGGGGTCTGTGGAACCTGGGTCATGCATGCCAACAGTGGAAGGGAGAAGGTGGCATTTGGCCAGGAGGCTCTCATGGCAGACCAGGCCAGGCCAGCGGAGGGATAAGGGTGCTGGTCAAGTCTTCATTTTTGCACTCACTTGATGCATCCAGCAACCATGAAGCCCATGGCCACTGAGCACCTGAAATGTAGCTGATGCCTCTGGCCAAAACAACAATATTTTAGGTGAAAGTTTTAAATTTTTTTTTTTGTGTGTGTGTATTTAAAAAAAATTTTGGCCACACTCCAGTGGCCTATGGGACCCCTAGTTCCCCAACCAGGGATCGAACTCATGACCCCTGCATTGGAAGCATGGAGCCTTAACCACTGGACTGCTGTGGAAGTCCCAAAAGTTTTTAATCTTAAAACTACATTTTAAAACATTTTACATTAAAAATTAGAAACCTTAATTTCACTCATTTCTTTTTACTGTTATAATGGTACCACTGGAAACATTTAAATCACATTTATGGCTCACATCCTATCTTTATTGGACAGTACCACTCTAATTTACTTACATTGCTGTTGTTGTTCAGTCGTATCCCACTCTTCGAGACCCCATGGACCGCAGCACGCCAGGCTGTCCTGTCCTTCACCATCTCCCAGAGTTTGCTCAAATTCATGTCCATTGAGTCGGGATGATGTTTGATTTTTACGGTCTGTCTGCCTCTGCTAGAATGTCCGCTCACTCCTCCCAGGGCTGGGCTTCTGTCTGTCTTGTTCACTCCCAGTGCTTAGAATGTTGCCCCATCCACTTAGTAGGCAATCAATAAATATTCATGGAATGAATACATTTCATTGCACACCGACCACGTATACTTAGCTCTGCATTAAGCTTTAGTAATGTATGAAATGTTCAGAACCACTCTACGAAGCAGGTACTGTTGTTCCCATTCTGCGGAGGAGAAAACAGAGGCTCAGAGGAGTGGAACGGCTTGCTCAGAGTCCCCCTAGAGCCTGGCAGTCTAGCTGCACAGGATGGTGCTGGCAATTGCCCCTTGGGAAAGTGGGACCCCCACATTTCTTCCTGAGCGTCCCTTTATCTCTAGCATAAGTAGCTTTGGGGTCAGGCAGCTCACCGCTGGGGGCAGAATCCTCAAGTCCAGCCGAAGTTCAGGGAGGATGCCGCGTGTGGTCACCTCGTGGCTCTCCCCCTTGTTACCCCCTCCAGGAAGCTGCTTGCCACCTGCAGCTGCCCCTCGGAGACTCTCACCTAGAAGGTGGAGCCGGATTGGGTGAGACCTGGATGCCCAGCAAGACATTTTTTTTTGCCACACCAAGAGGCATATTCCTCCACCAGGGATCGAACCTGCATCCCCTTCAGTGGAAGCATAGTCTTAGCCACTGGACCACTAGGGAAGCACCATGACATGACTTTTAACTCCTTAACTTCTGGGGCCCCGGCACCCAGGTGCCTGAGCCAGTGACTCGGGGACGGAAGGTGGATTTAGTTGGGAGGGGGATCAAGGGGCGTGGGGAGATCCTCCAGGGTGTCTAAGGAGAGAGGCCCCCCCAGGGCCCAACTTCAGCTCCCACTGCACACATAGGCTGTTGTCCTGGGCCCCCTGAGTAGGGCTCCCGCTCTTGAAAGACAAGGGTGTCAGATAGCGATGCTTGGCAAACAGAAAGGGGTGGATCCAGGCCCCAGTCTGCCCTTCTTCACAATCAGGGGACACATCTGAATGGACACAGAGGTGGGAGAGGCATATTGCCTTCTTAAAAATCACATGGGACCTAGTGTGAATTTCACAGACCCGCCACACACACCCTAACCCCAATGGGTGGCCTCAAGTGACGATTTTGCCTTTATTGACTTATGTATAAAACAGAGGTATAGATCTCCAACTTTTTATACCTAATGCAAGTGTTCCAAATTTTCTTGGTTCTAGGCACCCTCAGTGTCTCAGTAATTTCTTTTTAATGGCAACCCCTACTTCCTTTTTAATGGCCTCCCCACTTCCCTGCAAAAAACAAAAACAAAAATCCAACAGTTATGTTTAATAAGTAAGTGAGGTCAAAACAGTTAAGTATTTACGTCAACTTAGTTGCCACTTGAGTGAAGTGAAAGTCGCTCAGTCGTGTCCGACTCTTTGCAACCCCATGGACTTTACAATCCATGGAATTCTCCAGGCCAGAATATTGGAGTGGGTAGCCTTTCCCTCCTCCAGGGGATCTTCCCAAACCAGGGATTGAACCCAGGTCTCCCACATTGCAGGCAGATTCTTTACCAGCTAAGCCACGGAAGATTCCTTACCAGGGAAGCCCTTGAAAATGCATGTAAATTAAAAGAAAAGTAATATTTTAGTTTCTTCTTCAGTTCAGTTCAGTTGCTCCCAGTCATGTCCAACTCTTTGTGACCCCATGGACTGCAGCACACCAGGCTTTGCTGTCCATCACCAACTCCCAGAGCTTTCTCAAACTCATGTCCACTGAGGCAGTGATGCCACCCAACCATCTCATCCTCTGTCACCCCCTTCTCCTCCCACCTTCAATCTTTCCCAGCATCAGGGTCTTTTCAAATGAGTCAGTTCTTTGCATCAGTTGGCCAAAGTATCGGAGTTTCAGCTTCAGCCTCAGTCCTTCCAATGAATATTCAGGACTGATTTCCTTGAGGATTGACTGGTCTGATCTCCTTGCTGTCCAAGGGGCTTTCAAGAGTCTTCTCCAACACCATAGTTCAAAAGCATCAATTCTTCGATGCTCAGCTTACTTTAGTCCAACTTTCACATCCATACGTGATTACTGAAAAAACCATAGCTTTGACTAGACTGACCTTTGTTGGCAAAGTAATGTCTTTGCTTTATAATATGCTGTCTAGGTTGGTCATAGCTTTTCTTCCAAGGAGCAAGCATCTTTCGATTTCATGGTTGCACTCACCATCTGCAGTGATTTTGGAGTCCAAGAAAAGAAAGTCTGTCACTGTTTCCACTGTTTCCCCATCTATTTGCCACGAAGTGATGGGACCAGATGCCATGGTCTTTGTTTATTGAATGTTGAGCTTTAAGCCAACTTTTTCACTCTCCTCTTTCATTTTCATCAAGAGGCTCTTTAGTTCTTCTTCGATTTCTGCCATAAGGGGGGGAGTGACATCTTCATATCTGAGGTTATTGCTATTTCTCCCGGCAATCTTGATTCCAGCTGTGCTTCATCCAGTCCAGCATTTCACATGATATACTCTGCATAGAAGTTAAATAAACAGGGTGACA